AAAAATAGATTTTAGTACCCTTCCCTTGAGAGTCTAATTCAACAGGTCTGTGAGGGGAAGGGTACAATTATAATAATGTTTAACAAATTCTCCTGGTGATCGTTCTGATTATGCAAACTTGGGAAACAGTGGATTAGAAATAAATGCCAAGTATTGTTATGGGCCCAAAATATTTTCTCCATTTTCAGCCAGATTTACAAAACAGTTGATATCCATTCATAGAAATTATCAAAAGAAAACAGCTTCCAAATCTCTATCTGGATTGCTACAAAATAATGTGTTATTTTACATAATCGGTAACTAATGCTATGATTCCACATAAGCCACAGTTATGTTTAAAATATAAGACTATATGGGCCAGGGATATAGCTAAGTGGCAAGAGCAAGGTCCTGAGTTCAATTCCCAGTACAAAAAAAAAAAAAAAAGATTACAAGCGTTTCTTTCTTACAGGGAATTTCATTGAGGAAAAGGTAAATGGACCTGTATCACAGTCATTGTTTATAAAAAAAATGACTTAGATATCTTAAAGCCTGATCTGCTTCTAATTTGCTTAGCTCCCAGATTGATAAACTACACATATCAAACTCCAGGACTGTAAGTTGACTTTATCCACTTACAACATCCTTAAACAAAATCTTTAATACTGTAGTATAGGGCTGCTAAAAATAGACCAGGTCCCTGCAAAATCTTTTTCTAGCCCCCTCTCCAGAAAGAGTGATTTGCATTGATACCCAACACGTGGAGCCCGGTCATGTTTTTGGTCCCACCAAGTCCTTCTAATTATGTACCAGTTTTTCTTCTTTCTAGTTGGCCCTGACCAGCAGGCATACATTAGTGCTAAATCAATATTAGCTGATACTTCCCCAGGTGTGGTAAGTGAGGAAACCCAATCACATGAGCAAACATAGCCCTTCCTGTTCACATTTAACATAAGATGGTTATTATTATACTGCATGGAGGAAAATCGTATTGTTTTCTTTGGTATTTTGACTAAATCTTATGTCACCTTAATGTGCTCTAATTAGATGAAATGGATATCAGAATCCATTGTTACTGACTATAGATTCCCTACTTTGCTCGCTTCAGTAGCACATATACTAAAACTTGGAATGATTCCTTACCATACATAGTTCAGCTTTTTCCATTCTGTTGCAGAGCCTCCTCCTACCCTTCCTATTTCTTCTCAACCCTAGCCATGGCCTATGCCCCACACCCTTTTGCATTTCTAGAACTGCTTACTTGTGTAGGGTCTGAGTAGGGCTCCAGGAGAACTGAGTTTACATACCTGCGTTAATTGCTCACCTTGGGTGGAGCAGTGTCCTAAATAAACTCAAGTTGTGCCACAGCACCATTACTCAACAAAATATTTATACAAGTGTCACTTATAACATAAAAATAAATAAGACCTTTCAAGTTGTTACTGAGGAAAGAAGCTTAAGCAGCCCACTTTCTTACTCCAGGGACAATCTCACTATCCTTGTTCTTAGAAAACTCTTGAGTTTTCTTTGAAGAAAGACAGAACACAGGTATAGTGAGCCAAGTCAAAGTCACATTTACTCTTGAAAGTCTCAGCTCCTTGTTAATTATTTATGACGAGGAGTCTTGTCATTCTTCAACACTTCCCAGTCATAGCTATTCATAATGTAGCTATGCATTCAGTGCTTCCATAAATACCGAGAACATTTATGTTTAGTACTACAGATAAAAAAAATAGTTTGAAGTTTTAAGAAAATGGCATGACTCTACGTAATTTTTTCTTTTCTATTTTCTAGCTTCTTAGAAACTTTATAGTTTTTTAAAAAGCACTTCCTATATCTATGACCACAACAATTTTATGAAGTAGTTAAAACATGAATACTATTTTCATTTTACCCATGGAGAAATCAAGGCTCATAACTGTGACTGAGATCACAGCTAGCATGTAAGAGACTGAGATGTGGAAGCCAGGTCTGCTTCCTAGCCCAGTGCTTTTCCTTTCTTATAAAAATATAGCAAGACACAGTCTACTAGCTGTGATCAGTCTAATAGAGAGGCATGAGCTAATAATGTATGTAAGAGAAACTGCAAGATTGATTACCCACATTCAGGTTAACCTGATGATGCACCGTGTTAGGAAAAGACTGTCCAAAGGTCCTAATTTGCTTTGAACATCCAGATTTCCTGATAGGAAGACAGGGTGTGGTAATTATATATCTTGTTTTGGGCTTATGTTCTCCATACCCTCACCCTCACAGATGTCTCAAATATTGGTAATTACAGCTGTCAGAGCCAAAGGCTACAGACTCATGATCCACACAGATGACATACTAAAAATCTATTCAAACTTTTAAGCCTGAAGTAATGTTCAGCATTACCAGACTTGAATTAAAAGAGAACAACTTTCAGAAGAAGTAGACATTATTCCTGTCATTGCTGTACTCAACTACATAGACATGTAATAATTTCTCTTCAGTCTGAGAAGGTATGCAAAAACTTATTTGCCTCCAAATTTGAGTAATTTTAAACATACAGTATGTATGCTTAAGGATAAAACATAGGATTAAACTAAAATGGTTTGACATTGGGAAACTGATCCAAAGTAACGAAAGCAACTTGAAATAGTGAAGGAACTGCTTCTAAACACAATCCAGGAAAGAAGTACGGCACAGAAAAGTAGTAATCTTTGTCATAGCACCCTATAGGTGGGACTGAGTAACATCAACCCCATTTTAAGAATTCAGTAAGTTGCAATAGTGGCTGCAACACAATATATGCAAAACCATGGAATTGCTTACCATCTGTATTAACAAGTCATCAATTGTGGTTTGGGCTTCCACATTTAATGGGGAATGCATGTTTAAAGAATTATGAAAATAGACAAGAAAAGATCAAATGAATCTTACTTTGGAGAAGCAGTGTAAAGAGGGCTTAGTTAGTAATGGCCCTCGGGTCATTTAGTGCCATAGATATTGGTGTTTGGGGATTTTTTCATTGCAGAAATAATGCAAAAAAATATAGATTTAAGAGGAACAAGGTCCATAAAAGAAGCTAATGTGTATTTAACACCTGAACTGCCAGACAAACTATGTACATAATCACTATATACATTATTTCATGAAGTCTTCATCAAAACTCTGCAAGACAGAAACACAGAATGAAAAAGAGTAGTAAAGGTCAAAGCCAAAGGTCAAAGTCCTTTACTCAGTATTTGGAAATAAAGTCTGTTTACCTTGAAAGCCTGTGCTACCACACAAGTTACTGTAACACTGCACAGAGCAAAGCTATGGAGTCTTTTTCCCTTCGTTAAATTCAAGAGTAGTTTCTACAGACATTGTGTCTAGGATAGTGATATAGTCCAATCTAGAATTAGGAAAATAGGCTAAATTCCTCTGAAGTTGTCTTTAACCTCATAATTTTAGATTAAAAATCAAATGAATGCAGATTTAGTACAAGGCTTTTAACTGGGCACACACACTTTTATTACTTTTTAATCATTAAATGACACATAGCCCATTTTTGGCAGCAATGTGTCATTCTGCCCAGCACTGGGAATAAAAATGATTCTTCATGTACTTTCTTAGTATGCTAAAAATAATCATACACAGGCTACCAGAATTCCTTTAGTCCCTGCCTAAAACCTATTCAGAAGGCATACAAAAAACACACATCTAAGCGTATAGTACCATGTGTAAAAATGGAGATAAGAATCCTAACTAGTTCACAAAGTTCTTACAGTTATAAGTAAAATAAAACTTTTAAAATTCTTAGTACAATGCGTAGAGCATAGAAAATACCCAATAAGTACTATCTTGGTGGTTACCATCTTACTAAAGAGTAGAAAAATTCTACAAAAAAAGGTGATTGTTGATCTAAGAACTATTCATCAGCCACCTGGCACACATACTTCATTTCAAAATACCCTTACAGTTAACATAGGTATCTAAAGGGCTCGCTGACATAAGTATACAGTTCATTTCACACTCCATATTTATTAAAGTTTTAATGAGTAATGTAAACAGGAAATGAAACCATTATATAATTCAATGTTTCTTTTTCTCATTTTATTTATGTTTATATTATAAAAATGATTTAAAGACAAAGAAAATGTTAAGACATTATAATTACACTATTACTTACTTTTCCATTTATGTCTGTTTTGCAGCACTGGGGATTCAACTTATAGCCTTGTACATGAAAGGCAAGCTACATCCCCAACCATTTTTAGAAATTTTATTTTGGGTCAGGCTGGTTCTAACTTGGGAGACTCCTGCTTTAGCTTACGTTGCTGGGATTACAATCTCAGGATGAATTTTTTAAGTTTCATTTGTGATTAGAAACAGCTTAGATATAGGCATGCCCTTTATTATTACCAAAATGAAAAGCACATCTAAAATTGTACTATGACAGTATCATCATCTACTTAGAGACATACACATATGTACAATTACATTTTGGTTTCCTACATTTAATAAAATTTGAATGTTTAAATGTCCAGCATTTTAAGGGGTTACATTTTGTTGAAGACACATTAACATAATGAGCACAAATAATATGGCTTAGATCTGATATCCCATTTCAAGATAAAGAATAAAAGCCTCACTTTGTAAAAGATGCTGTAATTATAACTGATAAGTGGTTTAGAAATATGAGTGGGGTTGTATAGACTTAAACTTAGACTTATTTGCCTCTTACTCTAATTGAGAGCAAAAGTTATTAGGGAGAGCAAAAAATCCAGATGACTTGATGGCAACTGTTGAAGGATAGTTATCTCTGCCAAATGTAGACATTACAAAAATACAAATAGTAACTGTACCTCACTTGTCAATCCTGTCCTTTTCCATCTCACCCTCTGATAGTCTTTTCGGAGGACTCTGTTTCTCTCTAGGACCACTGGTAATTAATGCCTTTTGAAAGGGTCCACTTTCCTAGCTATTCAGATTGCTTCTGCTTCATCAGGAAAAAAAATTGTCCTTGGTGATAGAACCAAGTCTTTCCCAGTCTCATCTACTTTGTTTTCCAGATAACATGTGTATTTGGGACTGAAGAAGACAAGAAAATGTGGAAAAGAGATATAAGAGACTAGAAGTGGTTCAATAAAGCAGCATTATTCACTGTTAAGGAAAACTATTTCTTCCAAAGGTAACAGCTTCCTGTATTTTCCTGTGCAGGCTCAGGGTGACTTTGAAAACTTCACCAAAATTTCTCATTTTAAATATTAACTTTTATATTTATATCTGTTTCTAAATATGCTTTAAAAAATAATTAATTTTAAAACACAACAAAACAACAACAACACCCGAAGAGACTTCAAGGTAAATTCAAAGGGAAGAGGCTAAGCTTCTATGAAGAACTGTCCCACTTGGAGCTATTTCTATCTGACTGCATGGTATTCTGTGTTTATATTCTAGGTAGCAGATTATTCTTGTGGATAAATAAATGATGTCTCTTTCTTTTCCCCAGGAGATATGACATCACTCTAATTTGGAAACAGCACAGTATCTGCCAACATGAGGCAGACTAGGTAAAAAGAGGACAGATTTCCACTTCGGAAGATTTGTCAAAGAACAGGTATCTCAGGCTAATGAAAGAACATATTTGGACCTGTAAGATAAAAAGAGGCTCCAGGAGGGCTGCATTTTATGGTGGATGGACTTTCCAGGCAAGGAAGAAGGCCATCTAAATGGTGAGGGACAAACCAGTGGCAGGCCCAGGGTTCACTTTCCTCATCAATAAAATCAGAACCTAGTCCAGCGGAAAATATAGTAGTCACAAATTGGAATGAGCTTATATTCCCCAACCCTGGTGAATTTTTAAAGCTAAATTATGTGACTAACTGGAAGCTTTAAAATAAAAAGAAAGAATCCAGCCTGACTTCTTGCAGTAAAAATGAGAATTCTGTTGTCACCAAGGACAAATTGCAAGAAGATGAAGACATCTGAGATCACATGGATAGCATTTCCACTCTGAGACTGCAGTGTAAGGTCCAGAAAAAGAATATTCTTTACAGAGACATATATGTTAAAATAAGAACATTTGGCCTTAATTTTAATCCAGAAGTAAGTAGATGAATTAAATGTCAATGATGTCCATTTTAACTTGAACTCCTCTGTACATAATCTAATATATTGAAAGTACTAAAATTCCGCTCATAGTACATGACTGAATATTCTCTATACAGTGTGTAGGCGTTAAGTAAATGCCATAGTGCATTTATCATAAGATAGTTTTTCACATTTTAACATCTCTGAAATGTGAATAAAACTTAAAATAAATGGCATGTCATGGTTTAATTAGTAGCATATTTTTTTCTTAGCGCCACTTAAAATAATGGTACAACTTATTATGGTGTCTTAGATTTGATGAAGTATTTTGTCAAATGATGACACATAAGCTGAACTATTCAACAGAGTTTAAAGTCAGAACTCTATAGTCCTCAGTACATCAGAGATGTTTTTGTATTTATTAGTTACCTTAAGTGTATCTGGAAAAATGCTAAACACTCCCAAGAAGGTCTAGTTTTGGGAGCAAAGATAACAAGCATTATCAGGAGGAAATTGGTAGGAAGGACAATAAACTGAATGACCTTAGTGGTGGCCTCTGCTAGGTATCTCGTGATTTACTGTCTAAATTCTTAAATCTGGTTCTAGTTAATTTCAGCTCCTTCCCACTGTTCTGGCAATCATTGGTGTAGTGCAACCCATGGAAAAGATTCATTTCGATAAAGTTCAGAACAGAATATAAGTTTTTCTAAATATTTATGCAAGGTTGGACTGTGGAAGATCTCTTATACTTTAAATATGCTCATATAAATTCTCTGTAAATTTTTTAAAATATATTTAATTAGATCATTTTGTCATCCCATTCATATCAACCCCAAACAGTGCCAGTTTTTCAATAAGAGCTTTGGAAGTCTTAAGAGATCAAAGTAGTCAATTAGTTAGTGGTATGGAAGGTTAAAACCAACAACATATTGATTTGAAAAGATAAATATGTATGCACACACATAGATGGATAGATAAGGAAGGTTATATCAAAAGTGGTTACTTTTGCATGAAAAGCATTGGAGTTGTTTTCATTTGTATTTCTAAACTTTGCCACAATCAACACATATTGTATTTTCAATAATTAATAAAGCAATAAGAGTTTTATTCTATAATTAAACAGGTAGTACATATACAATACAGCTGGTATTGTTAAGGATGCATCTTCAAAAATGCATTTGCTTGATAATTTCTTCCTCCAAAGTTTGAACTACCATCCAATACAGCCACAAAGGCCAGTTTAGAGTTAGCCATATACAAGGTGGTGGCAGCTCCTGAGCTGATGTAGAATGAGTTGTTGTGCATTCTGTATTTGCAGGCATGGAGGCTTTGCATGTTTCCGCATTGCCACTATATGCATACATCTGCAATTTGCCTTCCAGCCAGGCCACAGAAGGCAGCATTTCAGTAAGAAGTATAATTTTCTTGATCTGGATTTCATTCCAAATTCTAGAGCTAGAAGTCTTTTATTTGATGTTACTTCAACTCCTTAAAGCATAAAACTCCTTCAGTACAATTCAGGCCTTTTACTATAACACATTGTACCAAATTAAAATATTGATATGTACTTTGTAAAAATAAATGGTAAATGAAATAGCCTCTTTTGCTTAGTTGTTAGCCCAGTTTTAATGTACTGTCCCTCCCTTATTACACATTGGGTAGAAAATTACAGTTGTTTTTTATATTATTCATATATAAAAGTATATTTTTCAGGTTCTTTGTGTTCTCAAATCATGTTTTCATTTACTGAAATGTTCATCTTTCTTTTTTATCTTAGGTATGTATAATCTCATCAAATTTTCAGGAAAAACAGATATTCTTAGGGTCTGCCCTGGTGTTTGAAGAGATAAATTCATCATTAGTCCATATCTAATAATATTATATTATTAAGAAGAAATAGAAGACTGTGTCTTACAAATTTTAATGTACTCTTTATATCACTGAATAACAACTAAATTATTCTATTGAAAACAGTGGGGCTTTCTCTGCTCGTGCTGTCGTGGAGGCAGCACATAGGGGTTCAATACGCAGAACGAAGCCAGCAAGTTCATGGACATGTATGTGTCCCAGAAATGCTCCACCAGCACTTGCATTATTGGTGCCAAGGACCACACATCCATCAAGATGAACATGGCTGAGGTTGACAAGGTCACAGGTAAGTTTATTGGCCAGTTTAAAACCTATGCTATCTTCAGGGCCATTCGCAGGATGGGTGAATCAAATGACTCCATTCTAAGATTGGCCAAGGCTGATGGCATTGTCTCAAAGAACTTCTGAGTGGAGAAAGTTGTAAATGTGGAACATGTATCACAAATACATAGAAAGAAAGAAAGAGAGAGAGAGAGAAAGAAAGAAAGAAAGAAAAGAAAAAGGAAAGAAATAAAACAGTAGGGTTCATAACAAACTGTCGATGATATCTAGTTCATCTATTTTTGTCGACTAAGAACACAGGAAAATATGCCATGACCAGCATTTCACTGGCTTTAAGAACCTATGCCAACAAGCTCCTCCTCACACATTGCTCAGAAAGCATTTCTTCCCAATGATTTGTGAAGGAGAACAAAATCAGAAAGTTTGTGAGTTTGGACAGCAGGACCTCTCTAAGTCTGACTGGTAAGTAAAGATAACTTCCTCTTTCCAGGATGGTTTTACTTGTGCAATAGGATGATGTAGTTAGATGAAAAGCTTGTAATAGCCACATAGGTGTTAGCATTATGGCATAAATATGAATATGGAGCACACTAGCTAGACCTCATTAAAGCCAATGTTTCAGAGACAGCTTTAACACTGGAGTAGCCATCACTTGGAGAGGGGCACTGAGGGAACAGGTTGAACTGTTCATCCTGGCATTAGAAAACCACTCTCTGAGTTTTCTGGTTTTCAGTGCCCTTCTCATTCATTCAAGGTAAAAGGAATGTTCTGTCTCATGGCAAAGGACTCCCCTTAGAACAAAGGTGTCTAGCGTTGCTGATGTCATCCATTCTGGTGTTGGCAAATGTGGCGGTTTTCACAGAAAGCAAGAGGTTAGCACTCTGTTAAGGAAGTTCAGGGACGCTTTTTCAACTGGGACTTGAGATGAGTAGTGAAATATGATGTAAATACCTAACAGGAGTTAACAAAGTAATACCACACCAAAGCTGGCTGGCTGAAACCCAGATAGACTTTCTGTCTCCATACACACCTGACTCCTGCAATCACAGCAGTGCACACACAAGTAAGAGAGTTCATGTGTACAATGGGATGGATACCTCCTTGGTCCCCGAGTAGGAAAACGCCTGGTGTCTGAAGATCTCTGCTCTAGTTTCTGTAAGCAGAAACTCTGTTGGCATCAGCTTATTTTATGGCAACAGAGACAAACAGAGGAAATTTTCCTGAGCAGTGTGAATGACAAAGAAATGAGGCAAATTATTGAGAAACTTATGGGTATTCACTGAAGAGCAAAAAATATGAGTTGTAAGTCTGAAGGGACTGCCTTCAGGGAGAAGATAAAAGAGACAATTCTACCAGGACCACCCGGCTGTAACTAAGAGACTGGCTCATTGGCTGCAATTGCTTGAAAGGTGTAAATAGCAGGAGTGGAGAGGTATTATTTTGTGTGATCCAAGGGGATAGCAGAAGAGTGATGGGAATGAAAGTCAAAACAAAAATGATTTAGGCAGCTGAGCAGGTCACATGCCCTAATGGAGAGATCTATTACAGACTGTGTGGCACCATCCCCTGGGAAGGTTGGAAGCCCATTTATTTGTGCCATTTACAATTGGAAAAAGCACTGAAAAGGAGATGGACACATCAGAAAGAGAAAAACCACTACATGCCCTCTGAGAGTCAGTGGAATGACTTAATAGGTCTTTTTCATCTCAAATTACCGCAACAAGACTTGTGTGCATGGGGATCTGATTTGCTAGAATAATTTTTCCATCATTCAGTCTTTTTTACTGTTACTATAAGGACAGTGAAGAAATGATAATAGGTAATGGAAAGCAGTGTCTACAATGTAAATAGAAGCAAGCCTACAGTGTGCTTTAGAGTGAAGGCAGAAGTGACCAGGATAAGTTTCCCGTTGTGATGTCAGTGTAAATAAGCATGCATACTGACAGAAACTCCCAACAACATACACATATTCATGGAGACTCAAGACAAAGGGAAGGAACTTGGTAGCATTCCAATGATGGCTGTATAAGCAAAAATTCAAGTAATTCTCTAATACAGAAAAACAGACATCCAAATACTTAAATTCTATCTTTTAAAAAATAAAAAAAATTTGGCCTTTAAAAACTACCAAGAAACAACTGCTGCATAGAAACTTTAAGACCTGCATACTGAATGCAGTTCTACTGTAATTCTATCCACAGCTTCAGTGGTAATTCACAAATGACACATTCTGAAACCCAAGGTGGCCCAGAAGGACACATGCAGGCATGAGGTTGTGCCAACCTGGGGTCAAAACTGTAACTAAAAGGAAAGGGCACAGATTGGTCAGATGGAAACTGGGGCAGGCAAAGAAGGGTTAGTGTTACTGTGATTGCTAGAAGTACAGCTGCAACCATCATGCCCTCTCCCAGCCAGAGGATGACACAAGCGCGGAACAAAAATGTTAAGAGGGTGCTGGGGGAGGGAGTGGGCGGGGAGAGGCAGTCAGAAGGAAAGCAAAGGCATCTAGAGTGGGGAAACCCACAGATGTAAGCTTGCAGGTGGAGGATATCTCGGTTCCTAATATAAATATTGTATGTGGTGTGCAGTAAGTTAAACTTGGTTTTCTGGAAGACTGACGCTTGCTACAAACACACTCAGGGGTTGACCTATGCCAGACAGATATAGGTCAACCCTCATCCTGCTGCTCTCAGCAGCTGTGGCCAATGGGAAACAGAGCTGCCTAGCATGCTGGTTTAAGCTGCTGCTAATGGAAATCAACCTAACCCCATTTCCTGCCCCTCTCCTGTCCTTGCTTGTCTACACAAGACCATTTAGACACAGGCTAAGCTTCTGGCTTGCTCTAAATGCTGGAAGACTGATGAATACACTCTGTTGCTGGCACACGTATGCCCATCTCTTTTAGGTAAAAGATGTGCTTGTAAGCCTTTAAACAGAGGCTTAAAATAAAATCCTCCTTCACTAATTTAAGTGTCAGCCTAAATTTGTAGAACCAGAGAGACTTTATTTGTCCTTTCCACCTCACCAAAGTGGTACCATGCTTAGAAAGAGGAAAATCCATGTAGAGGCCTGTTTTCAGAAAGTGTTTGTTAACACTTAACAAAGGTTAAGTGACTGAATCTAAAGTTACTCAGAGAAAACATATTAAGGCAGAGAATTAAGGGAGTGCTCTGAGAATCAATGGGAAAATCATGAAATTAAATCTGAAGAAAGAACATCACCACTGAATCATACCGATTTAATTCTCTGCTGGAAACCCTGGTCAACAATACATGTATCTTTATTCCAGGTATCAGACTAGTCTTAAGAGTTCAGATATTTTTCTGTGTTCATGTTTTAAAATGCCCAACCCCTTCTCACTAATAAGTAAAACATTAAACCCAGTTAAGTGTGGTCATGCAACCTTGGTTCCTTACTCCGCAGAACCAATAGGCCAGGGTCTATTGAGTTGACTTAAATATACAAGCAATAAAATGCTAACTGTTCTATTATACCTACATACCTTCTGTGGGATTTCATGCTGTCTTTTCCCTGGAATTCTAGACCAGTCAAACTAACTTTGAACCCCTGAAGCATAGAATATTTGATTCATATATTTTATTTTCATTAACTTGAGGGCAAAGGAATCCTAAATCTACTTTTATACTGCTAAAGCTTCAAAAGGAAATTCTTGACTGGAAGTTATCCATGTTTTGAAATAAAAGAAGTTACTTCATGTTCTTTTGTGTTTAAATAAATGTAATTAGACTTGCTACAGAGAATTTGGAAAACACTGAAAGCAATCACTTAAAACTTAACTCCGGGTGATAACTACATGAACATTTTTGTGCCTACTTCAGATTTTTATACACACACAAACACACACACACTCACACAAACTTTCTAAGATTTGCTACAAAAGTTTTAAAGATTTTTCATGTATTGCCAAATTGTCCTTCAGGAAGGCTATACCAATTTCAATCCATTTTCAGTGAATAGTATAATTTTTGGGAAGCAAACTTTAAATTCAAGTATTGAAAAATGCCTCATCACTAAATTTAACTCCTCACTGACAATGTGGTTTCTAGAATTGACCCCAACTCTCAGAATGGGCCCTGATTAATATAAAACAGGAATGGTAATCCAGTCTCTCTGGCTAATGAAGGGTTCAAAACTAGAACATGGCTTTCCTCAATAGGAGATTTCATCCAGATTTGTCCTAAATTGAGGCTGAGAATTACTTGCATTCATTGCTAGGAAAAAGACTCTGCTTCTTTGATGGATACAAACACAGTTTCTATTTGACTATATCACAGTGGTCAATGATTTTTGCTTTATTCGAATATATAGTAGAGTAAATCTGGTCTCTGTTAATATTCAGAATTCTATTATCAATTGCTTTGGGTATTCTTCCAAATGAATATCAGACTCATTTTTTTAATTTTTAAAAATCCATTAGGATTTTATTTGGGATTATTTTAATCTTGTGAATACAATACAAAATTTAACTTTACTATATTTAGTCTTATTAGCTAGAAACTCATTACACATACACACTTAAAGAGGCTCAGTCTTCATTAGTTTATATCCTAGTACATAACTTAGGTCAGATACTAACTGAAGAGTCACACGAATGTGAGCTGCTAGGGCATAGATTGTACAGGTGGATGGTACACAATATCCGAGAGCTTTAATAGGATAGTTAGATTTAGTTCAGAAAGTCAGAGAAAGCTTCCCTGAATAGGTGGTAATTGAACTATGAATGATTGAAAGGAGTTAGGTAACTAGGCAAGAGCACTATAAGCAATGGAACCCACAGATACAAAGAACCTGCCCAGATATAAGCATAGGAAATATAAAGGACTGAAAAAATGTAAATACATCCCAGGTCATGAGAGAAGCTTGACATAATAAGAGACAGCTAGAAAGCCTGAGAGATAAAGGGATGGAACTGAGGGGCGCTGACCTTGCTGGGCCAATTAATCCATGTTGAAGAGTTGCATCTGCTTTCTACAATCCATGGGAAACCACTAAAGATACCACTTTTGACAACCTCATTACCTTTAATGTCCAATCCAGTATGAAGACCTATTGACTTTGCTTTCTACACATTTCTTCACCCTATCTGCTTCAGTCCATCCCTCCATCCCTCATCTTTACCAATACTATAGTTCATTATCACCTCCACCTGGACAGCATCCTCTATGTACCTACTCTTGCCTCACTCCAATCTATTTCTAGTTAGAAGAATGCAGACCTGACGTTGATATCATTCATAGCAAGAGCCAATGTACAAATGAGGACTACTCTAAATAACACTCTGGTGTACTTGAGTTTTTTTTAATCAAAGATTTTTTATTGTCTCATTAAAACATGACAGATTGATCTTACAATTCAGAATCTTGTGTCTGTGGTTGGATAACTCTAGGATCTTATTCACCTGGCTGCTGAACTATTCTCTTTTCAGAAACATACATACCATCCCAAAATTTTCTGATATCTTTGTTTTTGACTGTTGTGGTTTGCTGAATCAAAGCAGCTGAATTTGAAACACATTCAATGTCAATTCCTTCAAGGATTAGCTTATCTTTCTGGGCTTGAGAAGCTCAGAAAGCAACAGCTGTCCTCAGAGGAACCTGTATTTTTCACCCAAGAAATTCCAGATTTTGACAAGAGACCCATTCTCCTGATAACAACATTGATGGGGAAGTGAGCACACAGACTCGGTCTTGTAATGGAAGCCCAGCGTAACATCCTTGATCATGTTCTGTACATGACTATAGGTCATAGGCATAGTAGCCAGTTCCTTTCTGTTCCCCCACTGTTTGTCAACCTGGAGCCTCTTCTTTTTCTTTCCAAGAAGACAGAGCTCTACACAGATGTAGCTGAAGTCCCTCCACAGGATTCCTCTGGGGCCCTTCACAATAACTATGCATCCCTTCAGAGTGATGATATTTCTGGAATGTCGACAGTCTTGATTGCTGAGAATGGTCTTCATTCTTGCAGGAGATGTAGCAAAGAGCTACTTGAGAGTTTTTAAAGAGTAGTTTATGAGTGTCCCTCCACTACACATGCACAGTAGACATCTTTGAAATGAAGAAAAGGTTAATTTGTTACTATGGTGGCCTTTTCCTTATCTAGAGGTATATTGAAATCACATTGCATATCTTAAATATACACAATAAAAGTTTCACTTGAAATAATTCAAGAGAACATATTTATATTCTTTTGAAAAGAAAGAAAACACTAAAAAAGGGCCAGTTTAGTTTTTTGTTTGTTTCTGAGAGGAAAGGATGTAAAGGAGGCAGATCATGAGTTCAGTTTTGAACTGTCAGTACCCTTGGGATATTCTAGAGAAACACCAAGTGGGGAGTCCATACTAAGTGAACACCTTCTGCTTCCCTATCTAGAGCAACTCTCCACCCTTCTCTCTATTGCTCTGTCCAGAGACTGACCTATAGGAAATGAATCACATTCCATGTAACAAAGATGCCCATGTTCTGGTTTTTTATTACGTTAAACTGATGGAATGTGCAGGCAGATTATTCTGCATCCTCACGACACTGCACTCTCTTCCTGTTCCTCTTCTGCTTTCCCAACTCCTCCTTTTTCAATCCCTCTTGCTTCAAACCCTTTCTTTTGCCTTCCTCATTCCATGACCTCACTCTAATCTTGTCCTCCCCCTCATGCCAGCATGACGACATCCATCCAGTATACATTTCCAGCCCAGATTCCATACCATCATTTCTTGTTGCTGTTGTAAACTCTTTGCAAATGATCTCTTCACTAAAATATACTTAAATACCTGTTTTGGGTGTATCACCTACTTTCTGCATCCATGCCTGACAAATCTTCATAAATTAGAAATGGATGGGCTAGACTTAAATCTGTGAGTCACCAAGGACAGTTGGTAATTGGAGTGATGGGTGAGTGAGAATATCTTGAGAGAGTTTGAAGGAATGAGCCCTGAGGAACTCAAACGTGTAATGCCCTCCAGAAGAGGATGATCCTGCAAAGGCCCTGCATACGTGGAGATAGAAATGTTAGGGGAAAAGCCAGGGCAGTGTGTTATGAAAGCCAAGAGATGCAAAGGGAAGAAAAAGAGGGCTACTGGTCAAGCCTTTCAGTGAGCACTGCAGAGTCATGTGAGTTCATGAATTATCCCATAGCTTTTGTATTCCCTTCTAGTTTATAATGCTTTTCTAATCTTTAGTTAAGCTTTCTATGATTTAGAAAACAGTTTAAGGTGAAAATACACCTTTTAAAAGCCATCTTTCCAACATCATTCATTAAATAATTCATCCCTTTCCCTACTACAATCATCTCATCATACACTATTTTTAAAATTATAAAGCAATGCTTCAGTGCTATTAGATGTTTAAGAGCTTCCTATTTGACTATATCATAGTTTTCAACTGTTACTGCTTTATCATACATTTTAATATCTATTAGAGCAAATCTAACTTCTAATTTATTTTCAGTTATTTTGTAAATAGCCTCATTTATTTTTTAAAGTAAACTTTATACCCATTTTATCAATTTAAAAAGTCCATTGGTGTTATTTTAATCTTGTAAATATAATAGGGTAGAATTTCATTTTATTATAGTCTTTTTAGCCAGAATCTTGTGAACACACACACGAATTCACTTATCATCAAGTCTTTTCTAGCTCAAAGAAGAAAATAGCTATTTTCTTAACCATATTTTGTGAAGGTCATTTCCTTTCAAAGAATTTTAAAGTTAATATGTCCAATGATTTCTTACTGTATATTGAACCCTTTTACTGCTTTGGGGTTTTTTCCCTCTTTTTTCTCTTTAAATAAAAAAAGTATCTCTTCTGATTTTTCTTATTCTTTGTTACTTCTCTGATTTGTTTTCTAGTATAAGAAATCACATGTCTGTGATTGAAAAAATAGGAGAAATTAAGAAGAAATATGCATATATAATCCTAACAGCCAACACTCAAGTGTCAACACTGTTCACTTTTTGGTATATCTATTAAATATTTTTATATTCTTAGATATATGTAGCATTATATGTCCCTATGCAAACAAAATAATATATAATTAAAATATATCTTTTTTGCACCTACTAGGAAATATTGTTTTATATCAGTACATGCACTTGAAACCTATCAGTCTTCATTTCTGCATGCTATTCAGTTGTAGAGATTTAACTTAATTTATTTAATCAGTCCAATGGGACCTTTGCTGTTTCCAGCTTCATATCATAAGAAATGGCATGATAATTCTTTTACCTCCTCAACTCCGAAGAGCTTTACAATTTTATTTTTATTAAATAAAATAGCTCTGGGGCTGGGGATTTAGCTCAGCAGCATAAGTGCCTGCCTTGCAAGTGCATGGTCGTGAGTTCAATCCCTGGTACCGGTAAAAAATAAATAAATAAATAAAATAGGTTGTAGTTCAGTGGTAGGTTGTAGTTCCATTAACAATGGTTACCACTTTCAAAAGGAGATTCCCCCCTTTGATGCTACATTGTGTATTGTTATCCTCTGAATAGATGATCAGACTATCAGCTTTAGACTTGCAAAGTCAGTGAAACATTAAATACTACAAGCAATTAAATTGTATTTTACCTCAATAGCTGTCATCACAGCCTAAGTTTCTCCAGATCGGCTGGTCGCTTACTGTGATGGGGGTGGGGATGGGGGGGGTGGCTCTTCTTGTTTCCCAGCCCATACATTGGAGGGGCATGTAGCTCTCCCTCTAGCAGCTCATGTATGATGCTGATTTGCAGGGAGGCCTTGCTTTTTGGTGACTTCTTTTCTCTTCCCCCACAGTCTATAGATAGCTCTGGCTCACAGGAAAAGGCTGGTATGTGGCTCTTCCTCCAGCAGCCCATGCATGGCATTGATTTGCAGGGAGGCTTGCTTCTTAGTGACTTCTTGTTCTCTTCCAAGACGTATCTAGACATATCTAGAAACTGGAACACCTGGGCTGCTGCCCTCAGCGCTGAAAGGAACTTCCTTTTATTGGTCTCAGGGATCAAACTCACAACCTTGTGCTTGCCAGGAATGCATTAATGATGCTGAGCTAAATCCTGGGTTCCTTGAAATTAAGATTTGGTGGGGAGTACTGGGGATCCTGCAACTTATAACCTCATGCTTGCCAGGCAGGCACTTGTGCTGCTGAGCTAAACCCCCTGTTTTGCCACACTGGTCATATGTTCCTGAGATTTAACCACATTCTTGCAAATAATTACAAATTATCCATGTTCACTGCTGTACTGTTACATGAATATATAATTAATTTTTAATCCATTCCATGGTTGATGAACAGTTTTTGGTATCATAAGGGGTGATACAACCTGAACAGTCTGAACACCTTTGTACCCACTACTTACTACATGTATAAAAGAATTTTTCTATGGTAAATATTAAAGTGAA